GTGTGTGTGTGTGTGTGTGTGTGTGTGTGTGTGTGTACACACAAACATCCCTGGCTGCCTTATAACTCACTATGTGGACCAGACTGACTGGCCTCTGAGATCTGTCTGTCTCCCTGCTGGGATTAAATACACTCTCTTTTCTACTACACCCAGCAAATGTGTGATATTTGCAACAGGAATTAAGAATGACATAAAATTGCAAGTGTTTTAAATAACAACAAATGTGCAACAGGGCTGTGAGAACTATGGAGTTTTAGAATATCGTTGCACTGATGTTCAGCCACGTTAAGTTCAAATGATTGCTTACCTGACTGTGTGATGCTTTGAACGGCTTGTGGCTTGTGGCTTGTGGATTCATCGTTGCGCCAGGCCGTTCTTACATCCCACATCCCATCTGATTACACTCTAGCAATTCCCCTTTAGCCCCCAACAACAACAACAATTTTACCTTATGTCCTCTACAGGATGTGTGTTACTTAGAGATAAAGGCAAAGATTTCATTACTTCCAGTGTTGGGGTCCATGTCACCTACTCAAAGGCTTTTGTGACAGACAACATGATGGAAGATAGGGAATAAAGAAGGGGTTCCAAGGAGATAAATGTTGTATCTATTGCCCCAAGTAAAGAGTTCATGGCCTTTTCAAGTAATGAAATACATAAAACTTGAAAAGAAGGAAGACAAAGTCAATAGACAAGCCCAGTTGCTCCAGGCCCTTCTTAGAATATGGGTAATCAAACCAATGTTCTTCAGCTGTTGGCATTCATGGAAACCCAGGTTAATGAAGATCAGCTGTATCACACTGCTATTGTAATCTGATGGTCCTCACTGCTCCACCAAATTTTCATTGTCATCAGCATCGTGTATTTAGCATTTATTTTTATCAATGGAATATAAACACTGTGAGTGAATGATTTATTTATATTTGGGCAATGTTTATTTTTCTGTATTTAGCTCATATGCCTACCAGTAGCCACTAAAATGAATTAATGAAGGAAGGAAGGAAGAAACCCAGGAACAGGTAAATACAATGGTCTGAAGACAGGAGCCCTTTCTTACACTGCATATCTGAGAATGGAGAGATTGGGTTCTTGTAAGGATACAGATATTTTAACAATTAAAAGTATCCCCAGTTTCATTGTAGTTGAACAATGTCCTTCAAGCCAAGGGAATAAGTCTTTGTCTTCTCTTATTATTTATAACATTAAGCATTGTTATCTGTTTTTGTGGTCACCCCATGTGGTATAAGGATCATTTCTTAAATTGGTGGTTCATAGAAGGCATTGCTAGCCATGTTTCCTGGAAAAAAAAATCCTAGGATCAAAAAACTAACATTCTATGAGAATGATGTTTTAAATCATACATGATTTAGCCAAGGATGTCACTGTTAATTTGTCATGATGATGGCAACCGTGAAAAACATCAGAAAAGATCAAACTCTGCCTTCTCTGTTTGACAGGGTTAGGTCGTACAAATTGGCCTTTTGTTGTAAACCTGTCTGTCTCCCCAAATTCTGAAAAGGCTTCAACAGTTTCAGTTGCATCTTATTCAGAAGGCTCAATAGAGTGAAGAACACAAATATAAGATTTACCAAAATACATGTGGGATTACCTGCCCTATGGTGACTGGTCTTAACAGGGTTTCTATGTTAAAGTAGAATGTGAACTTTTATATATGACTATACAGAGATTGTATGGTCAAAATGAAAACAAATAGAAATGTCTTACATAGGAAATTTATTTCCATTTTTCCATTTCAAAACTATAAACTAAAAGATTTAGTATAATTTTAAAATAATTCTTGGAGGGAGTACTATTGAGGAGGTACTATCTGTTTACAAGATCGCTGTTTTATGCCACTCCTCTGTTTAATTCAAGTTTTTCAGTCCATCTTCCCAACTGTGCCTTGTAATTGCTGCCCTCTTGTGGCTCAGAGTGACAACTGTATGGCTTGAACTACAATTCATAACCCAAAACAGTTTCTTTTTTTTTTTTAAATTATGTCCTTAGAAATAGAAACAGAATGATACTTACTTAAGAAGATACACACTACCATCTAAGATACATCAGGCAAGATCGTCTCCAGCTGATACTTGATGCTGTGTTGTTCTTTTTATAGCAGTATGATGAGGCAGACATCCATTAACCAGAATTTTTTCAATGCCAGTAGCTGAAGACTGTTGGTTTGAGTACCTATATTCTAAGGAGCAATTGGGCTTGTCT